TTTTATTATCTCAAACTACATATTATGATAGCTACAGAGCTATAGTAATAAAAACATCATGGCCTTGTCATAAAGAAAGACTCGCAGATTAATGGAACAGAATAGACAGCCCAGAAATAACCCACACATTACAGCCAATAGATATTAACAAAGGAGTGAAGAACACATAATGAGAAAAGGGCAGTTTTTTCAACAAAGGGAAAACTAGATATCCACATGTGGAAGAATGAAAGTAGACCTCTGTCTCTCATCAGTTACAAATATCAACTCAAAATGGATTAAAGACTTAAATGTAAGACCCAAAACTATTAAACTACTAGAAGAAAACATAGGTGAAACATTTCAGGACATTGACCTGTGCAATGATATTTTGGGATATGATGCCAAATGCCAACACATTGAAAACAAAAATTGACAAATAGGACTATTAAAACTAAAAGGCTTCTGTACAGACAAAGAAACAATAGACCGAAGAGACAACATACAAAGTGGGAGAATATTTGGAAACTATACATGTGACAAAGGATTAATATCCAGAATGTATAAGGAACACAAACAACAAAAAAAAAGCCAAAAAAAACCCCTTAAAAATGGGCTAAAGACTTGGCTCTTTTTATTCCAAAAGTGACTTTCCCCCATCCCCCTGCACCCTTTCAACACACTTTCCACTGCTACCATCATTTATATCATCAGCTTTTTGTTCTGCTCCTTTTCATCTCCAAATTTCATATCTTGCTATTTTAATTCTATGCTGCTCCCCAGACTATTCTGTCACCCTGTGGGTCTCAGTGTCCTCTCCCTTCTTGTCCAGTGCATTAAAGGATTAATCTAACCTGACCCCAGGAATCTTCTCTTGCGAGTTGCTACCAAGGATAAACCCAATAGTAAGGACTGATGTTGCCATGTCTTAAGTAGATCTGATCTGTTAATTTTATTAATAGGATGTTGTGAACATCTATGAGAGGAAGTACAAGAAAATACTTAGCATAGTGTTAGCTGGTATTTGACTAAAGGAAATAATGAACATAAAAATAAAGAATATTAATGCCCAACTATATGAAAGAGGCTAAACCAAGCCTTTAAATTTTCTTTTAAAGATCAATAGATTTAGAAGCAAATATTGATGATGATAATAATAATAATGATAATAATTACTGAATGAATTACAAGTAATTATCTCTGTAAAACTGAAGAATAAAAGATAGACTAGAAGACTGGACAAGTGAATTTCAAAAGGGAACATTAAGTTTGACAAAAAACTGAGTGATGTAAAACTGAATTTGACCAAATCTTAGGGAAGACTCTGGAAGAAGCAGCATGGGCACCACGACTCCATGTGGACGACCCGCCCACTGCTTACCAGACCAGCCTCAGTTCACAGGTTATTGTTGGGGCATTAGAGAAACTTAACGTGATGTTTTGCAGGGCCTTTCATAATTGTTTTGTGAGAAAGAAATAAAAAGTTTCAAGGTTAGCTAAATGTATTAATAATTGATTATAATAAAAGAAATAATTAGCAGGTAACTCTTACCCTGAAGGGCTTGGTGGTGGAATGCCATACGGTTCTGTCTCCATTCTATCCTTTATCAGCTTATATATAAATATGTATATTTTGTGTGTGAAAGATGCTTTATATATGTATAATAGATGCTTTATATATGTATGTTTTATATATACATATTAAATTTATATGTAAATGGTGTATGAATATATGTGTATAAGACAGTTAATACTTGTCGAATCTGCAGCTGACACCAAACTGGGAGATCTAGTGAATATATTCTCTTATAGAAAAAGATCTCAAATTTATAAGCTCAGATTTACCTTGCTTAGGAAGAGTTCTGTGATACTGCATCCACTCCAAGTCTGTATTCAGTACCCCTTCTGTCTGAGGCTTGGCATGTATTCATCAGTCGCCCACTGCTTAACTGCCGTATAGGCCTCTCTCTCTCTGCACAGCCAGTTGGTCTTGTGTCTTTGTTCCCAGTATCTCACACAAACCTTAATGAATGTTTGCTGAAAGAACTACTGATGGTGATCTACACTGAGAGTCTAAAACTATCAAGATGAAATTTAACAAGGATAAAGTCCTGCCCTTTTGGTATTCCCCAAGAAATAAGCACGAGATAGTGAATAGTTATCTTACTCATAGCATGCCTAAAAAGAAGGGTTTTAGACAAGAATAAACTCACTTTGAAACAGTATATCACTGCTTCACTCTTCTCCCTCCAAAATGTGATCTTCACTTGTTGGAATGTAAATATCTAACACCTAAAACAAAGAATGTGAGTCACTCTGGAGCTGACCAGACCATACCTTTGTTACTATTTTAAAGTCCTGAGTGATACATTTCAAGTAGGAAACCAACAAACAAGAATTTGTTCTAAGGAGAGCTGCTAAGATTATGAAGGGCCTAAAAATCTTATCAGAGTTATTCAATTTCTTGTTCATTTAAATATCTATATGACTATATATATGACATAGGGAAACAAGAGGCCAGATCACTAGAAGTAGGGTATCCTATGTGACTGGTTTGGGGAATATATTTGTCCTTCTCTATTTGGCTCTGAGTTAGAAGTGGAAGCAAAAACCAGGGAAGCCGGCATTCAGTGACTGGATCCTGACCATTCTGAGATGATGGTTGCAGAGTTTGTAGTTTGGGTTTCTGGACTGATTGTTCCAGTTCCAAGTTGCAGGTTAGAGTATACGATCATAGGGACTGGGCATAATTCACTTGTATATTCAGTCTCTAAACTGAACATTGAGGAGAGAAGAAAAGATACATTAAAAACTGTATTCAGCACATAATGGATTGTGTTTAAATACTGTAAGGTCTTCTAAGCGAAAAAGTTCGGAACAATCTCAGTATATCAAATTAGGACCAGTGAGTGGAACAATTCTTGAATTTAAAAAATAAATTTTCTAAAACTCATTTCTAGCTAGATATAATCTCAGGCTGTGATTACCTGTTAAAAGAGATAATTCAATTCAAGGCTGAATGACCTCTTTACAGTGATGTCACAAAACAGATCCTGTACTTTCCCATTTGTCAGAACAATGTGATATCTTTATTACCAGTGCAGAATTTGGGGCTCTGTCCTAGACCTCCTAGTCAGATCAGTGATAGATTATGATTCTCTTATGAAATATTTGTGGAAAGAATGCACATACTGGACAGATAATTGTATTAGATGGCTTGTAAGATTGCCCTCACTCTGAGAGTCCAGTATTCTAACCTGCATACTGGCGTCACAACCAGGAAATAAACCATTCATTCATTTGATAATATTGATTGGGTAAATAAGTAGATTACATTATGTCCAAACTCTACTTTATAGGGTGTATTTTAATTCCATTCCTACATGCCAAGGAGGTAGTAATGAAAATAACTCATTTGTTCATTCTTCAAAGATGTATTGAACATCTGTTGAGCCTAGCTGGAGCACTGTACTAGACTCTAGGGAGTTAGTGATGAATAAGACTGATAAAGTCCTTTTTTTCAGAGCTTACACTAGCAAAAAAAAAATAGAATGTATTTATAGTAAAGAGTTATATCATATCTGTTATGCAAAAGAAAAACTGGTGCAAAAACACCAGGCCATAGTTCTGTTCTTTTTCCCTCCATCGTAACTCCAATTAAAAATCAATCAAGTTTTTTATGGAACAATTAGTGTACTTCCTTTCCTCAGATTTGTTTTAGGTTTTAAGTAAAAAATTGACCTTAGTCAGGATTACTATAAGAAAACTTCAAAAGTGGTACTTTGTACTTAAAACTTCTCTGTTGCAAAACTGGTCAATGTATTTCTAACAAACCAAGGGACAGTCCTTGGTCAGGTCGATGCTGGGTATTTTAAAAAATTATTTTTGAAATTCTGAGTTCTTTGGAGTTCTAATACTTGTTTGTAGCCTTACTGCCATGATGCAAATTTGTGCAGTAGCTTTCAAGCACCATAACACCCTGTCTTTTACTGAACGGTATACAGGAAGGCACGTAAGATGGGAAACAGCTGCCTAGGATCTAGCTCTTCCACTAATCAGCTGTGTGACCTTGGACCTCTGTGAGCCTCAATTTTTTCAAAATGCTAAATGATCCTTAATTAGCCCTGAATCCTGATTTGGTTAAAACTAAATGAAGGAAATGTTATCATTTTGCACCTGCTTCTCCCATTTGCCCTCCTCTCTGCTACACAAATATATTAGAAGCCTGATCATCACCATTGAAATGAATACTGAAATAACTTGCTTACCTAATCTGGACATTTGTGTAACCCCTGGAGGCTTCAGTATCCACCTCCTGTGCCAGCTCCCTGAGGAACATTTCAGCTTCTCTAAAGGAAGACCCTGTACTGGAAACACCTAGACATCTGTCCTCTCACCACTGTTCAGTCTTTATAATCCTATTGCCAAGAATCTTGTTTCAAACTCAGCGGACCTTCCTAGGCTCAGGATGTCACCATCTGCATGACTAATAGTATTTCCATTGTATGAACATATTTTATGCTGTACTCATCTGTAAGATCAAATTCCTTCCAAACAGACATTATGTCAAGTTTCCCTTTTGAGGAGCAGCACCACAGCAGTTAGTACTCCTGAATGGTCCTACCCGTCCTATCCTTGCTCTTCTATCCCTAGCAGGCATCAAGATGTCCCAGTTTGCCTTTGTCTAACCTCTTCAAGTCAGAACAGACATAGGTACATTATATTTACTTGTAAGAGCACTGAGACCTAAACTAAATAGTACCATTTTTCATAGTTAGCATATTCTGTAGAATTAGCACCGTCTTAAAAAAGTCATTTACAAAAATTAAGTGTATGTAACTGTTAGCTCTGAAATTAGCTTTTGGTTTTAATTTAAAACTTAACCTTTAGCTTTGGACTTCTTGCTATTTAAATAATTGAACAATTTAAGGAAATAAAGCTGTGCAGAGCAATATAATAATTTTTCTTGTTCTTATTCTTCACTCTTTTAAAAACGCATTTTACTTTTCCACATTTTGCAGAGCTTCTCCTTGTGAGGCTGAGCTTCAGGAATTAATGGAACAAATTGACATCATGGTAAGCAACAAAAAATTGGACTGGGAAAGAAAGATGAGGGCTTTGGAGACACAATTAGATCTTCGAGATCAAGAGCTAGCAAATGCACAAACTTGTTTGGATCAGAAAGGTCAAGAGGTACTGAATACATGTGTTAAAAACTGTTAATTCATCAGACTCTTACAGATAGGATTTATTTTATCATAATATGTTTTTCATTATAGATGCTTTTTCTCAGGCATTAGTAACAGCATTTATTGTCTAGTATGCTAAATGTATTTGATGAATAAGTGCAAGGATTAAGTACATAGATATTTACTGATGAAGAAAGACTTTAGAGTGTCAATGCCATATATAAAAGTAAATGTTTAATATATATGTGAAATAAATATTGTTTGCAAACAAAGATATGAATGCTTTTGCTGCTATAGAAACAAAAAAGTGGTCATCAAAATTGTATCTCTGTTCAAGGAAGAGTACAAGAGCTTTTGCTTCTTTTAGTCTGTTAGAAAAATGTTACTTGACAATGAGATGTCAAAAAGAGGATAGAGTTTGGCCAAAGTGTGTGTTTGTGAGGCACTCACTGAGGAGGTGTTCTCTCAGGTGCCGAAAGGTGGCCCACTTCCAGAATGCGTCCTCTCATGCCTGAGAAGTTCAGGACAACCTTATTTAATATGGACTTTTGTGTCTCTGGGCATTTCTTTTCTTTTTCCGGGGGTGGTGGTGGTATTTCTTTTTAGTAATACATAATAGAAACATCATTCATTATAGTCTTAAAAAATCATCAATTAACATCATCAGCCATTTTTTTACCTTAATTGGTTTTTCACAGGAACTTGGTTTCATGCATAGTTAAGTATATTATTTTTTGAGATGGTTAATTTAGTTATTGATATCTAGTTTCCATTAACAATAAGATGCAGGTCATCAGTCTTGGCACATTCACGGGATTATTCTCTCTCTTTCATACCTGTAATGGCACAGATATGTAAACAGGAGTCTTGGCTACATTTTAAGTTTATATTTATTTTTTAATTAATTTTATGGGTATATTTTAGTATACAATATAATGACATTCATCATTGGAAATTTGCACCTTTACATAATCTCTCTTGGTTCTTATTATTTCCCCATTCCCCTCCCCTCCCTTCAAAATGTCCATCATCCTTATTTACAAAGACTTTGTTTCCATTTTTTCATTTTCTCATTTAATTCCATTCCCTTTCCTTTTCCCTACCCCTCCCACTTCCCCTTCCCCTTTGCCCTTTTTTTCCCTATTTCACATTATCTATTATACCTTTTAGTCCTTATTTACACTTTCAGTTTCTCACACTAGAGGAACTATTCGGTATTTACACATGTGTGTCCTATTTATTTCACTTCAGAGTAGGACCTCAGTGTGCATCCATTTAGCTATAAATGTCTCTAATTTCTCATTTTTTTATGGCTGAGTGGTACTCCATTTTATTTAAAAAACCACATTTTCTTTACCAGTCTCCATTTGATAGGCAATTGGGCTGCTTCCAAGTTTTAGCTATTACACACTGTGCTGCTATGAACATGGGTGCACATATGTCACTGTGGTATGATTCTTTTAATTCTTTGGGGAAGATCCCCAGCAGTGGAATAGAGGGGTCAAATGGGACTTCCAGTCCTAGTTCTTTGAGGTA